TTTTTTATGGCATTCGCTGCTGGGCGTCTCTTCAAGCATTATATTATCCAATATTATTCAATAATTACCAATTAAAAGAACTTAAAGAAATATTAAGCTAAAATAGAACAGAGCGCATAGCTTTCAGCACGAACCGTTTGCTGCTTTAACCAAACATTTAAAAAATCCAAAATCCAAAATAATAATAAACATTAAAATGAAATTGCAACACATAAATGAGAGTAAGAGAGATAGCTAGAGCAAGAGAGCTAAGGAAAGAGAAGAACAGAACATAAACTACAAAACCGAAAGCACTTACTTTTCCAAGAATATATATTATTTACTTTACGATTATTTTTTATATTTATGGAAGTCACAGATATATACATATCTATTTTCTGGATTTAATGAGATTTAATACGATTGATATTGAAATAGGAATTTATTTTGAGGCGCGCGTTTGCTAGTTAACTTAAGTAAACCAAATCCCAATGCAACATGTGATAAACATGAAATAAAAACTTAAACGAAAACACAATATGGCACATTTATATATAATATATACTTATATTGATTTATATTGAATATACAAATGTACAAAAATCATAATCAAGAATTTTGCACACATCAAATGCTGAAGTTTTTGTTCTTTTTGTTTTAACRTTTATATGCATGTATGTGTGTATGTTTGTTTGTTGCTTTTGTRTATGTACGAAGTGTTTGATTAACGAGCACGCACAAGATTTCTGAACTCTGGCACAGCAATTCCTCTACAACTATSAAATGAATTTGTGTTTAGTGCAGTCGCAGTTGTTGCTACTGTTGTTGCTGTAGTTRTTGTTGTTGCTGTTCTTGTAGTTGTTGTTATGGTTGTGGTTGCTGTTGCTGTTCTAGTGGTTGTGTCGCTTGTCATTGCTTGCCTAAAGAGCAGAAGGCAAAGGTGCGAATTTTGGRCTACTAGAAAGATATTCAAATGTTGCTACATCTGTCGAAAAGAGAACACACAGAGAAACGAAACAAAGATGTYTGATAAATCAACATGTAAATCAAAAGGAAGAAGAACAACATAGAAAATGATAAGGAAAACAAATGACGACGAGAACCCAAACGAYGTACGTTTGCCTTAGAAGTCCTGAAAACAAAATATTGCTAACGCATTAGGTATACGCACCGTTGTCTTCTCGAGACACCGCAACAGATGATGATGCTGCAGCTCAAAGATATCCTCATCCCTATAATTATCATCCAGCTCAATGCCAGACTCTTGCGCTGCCCAACGTGCCTCCGCCGCCTTCTTCTTGTTGACGAAAGCAGCGCCAGACGAGGCCTTCGCAATGCGTATGCGCGCCAGCCGAGCTTTCTGTAAGTGTTCAARTGATGAATTAATAMAATATTGATAGAGAAACGTGTAGACARAGAGTGTTTKRCATACCCGCTGCGCTTTGCGCTTATCCGCACGCTGGTTCTGATGATAAATTCTACTAAAGTTCGATACAATAACAGGTACAGGTAAGGCGATGACCAGCACTCCGCTGAGCGAGCAAACACCACCAACTATTTTGCCAGCTATTGTCTCCGGCACCATGTCACCGTAGCTAGGTTTTGGTAGAGGGTAAAGAACAAATAAATTAAGGTGAAATTCTCTATAATAAATTTCCTAAAATAAACACATTAAAAATGATACTAATTTAAGTTTAAAAAGAAGTTTTTTAGTCTATGCCTTTTTTTGGATAATAAGCTAGTATTTTTGGTATCATTCGCCATTCATTTTGAAAAATACTAGTATCTCAGCATATAATTAGGGGAATAAAGTATTTTTTGAGAAAGGATTTTTGTTAAAAGTTAAGTTGGCTGCGCTTTCATACTAAAAAGTACATAGGCATGCCATTTTGAGTAAACTGAATAAAACGGCTATCCAAATGTAATATGAATAGCTAATTAATTGGAAATAAGTATATTCAAAGATTTGTTTATATTTTTCATCAATTACTTACCCCAACGTCGTCATTGTGACAATGGTGTACCAGAAGGCCGCCGGTATCGATGTGAAATTTGTGCCATTTACATTTTTCTCGGCATAGAACATGACCGTGGCAAATATGATAATGGCCATGGCCAGTGAAAAGACAAGAAAGCCCAGCTCACTGGCGCATGACTTGAGCGTATAGCCGAGGATGCGCAGACCCTGCGAGTGGCGGGAGAATTTGAAGATGCGAAAAACGCGGAACACACGCAACGTAACAAAGGCGCCGCTGACATCGTCGTTGTCCGTGATGCCCAGGCCAATGTAGTAGGGCATAATGGCCACCACATCGATGATGCTCATCACGCTGCGCACAAACTTGCAGCGATCGGGCGCCGCAAACAGACGCAACAGATACTCGGCGGTGAAGATCATCACACAGGCGGTGTCTAAGCAAAAGAACACAATTTTGTAGCGCTCGCCGCAGGGCAAAGTGCCGGCACGTCCAGGCCGATGGCCGCAGGGCACCGTCTCCACCACGTTGGCCATGACRGAGACGGCTATGAAGAAGCCTGTTACATAGTAGAAGACCAGAGCACTGGTCGATGTGTGCGGATTCTCGAAGGCACGCCACATCTTCTGGCGTATGTTGGTTAGCTGTTGCAGATTCTGATCTCCATTCTCCGACAGCTTGTCATCCATGAGGCGTTCGGCGTTCTCGCGCTTGCGATCGCGATAATCCTCATAACAGCAATCACCGATGACATCTGGCAGGATGCCAAAGAAGGCCAATTCCTCGTCGTAGCTGGTGAGGCATTCGTGTTTCGGATAATGCAATTTCCCGGTGCGATAATAGTTAAGTATGTGCCGAAATATGTCCGGATCCCGATCAAAGAAATACTCTTTGCAATCCTCATCATAGAAAAACTCACGCTCATTCGAGCCGAGCAGCGTGTCTGGATACTTTTCGAGGGTATTGCGCCAGGTCTCAAAGCGWCGCCCGGACACATTTATCAGTAGCTTCTCATCGTCCGTTTTGCGGCGATCCTTCGGCATCGGAGGCGGTGGCAATGGATGCGTAGCTATCGGCACCCAACCGATGGCCGCCGCCCGTGCAAAGGGCAGCCAAGCGGCGACCGAGGCCATACTGTGTGGTGGAATGTTTCAGTGTCCCAAGACGATGCCGGGGTGGGACGGGGAGGCGATATCGAGGTAATCAGCGGTCAATGGATACGTCTCTCTCTCTCT